CTGGGAATGGAGTTAAACTTTAATCTGCCGCTCAATTGTCAAACCACGCAGAATGCTGGTCTTGTCACTAGTTACAACTGGAAGTCCCCAAGGAGCTTGGCGTTTGCAGAATAAATCATTTCTAATATGTGTAGGCTCACTCGGGAGCAAGCCTTGCTCTCTTACCCAGGGCGTTTGCAGTATCGAAACAAGAGTTTCAATCTGGGACAACCAGGACGCCTTCGGGGTCGCAGGTTTTGCTGTGAAACCCAGCACGTCGTGCGGTCAGGCCGATAGTCGCCTTTCCTTTTTGCACACTCGGACTGGCAGGAGCAGGGCTGGAGAGCAGCATTGTGCTCAGTTTTGGGCCCCTCATTGCAGAAAGGATATAGCCAGGTTGGAGTCAGTGCTGCGCAGGGCCACGAGGTTGGTGGCTGGTTTGCAGGGGAAGCCGTATGGGGCGAGACTGAGGGAGCTGGGTCTCTTCAGCCTGGAGAAGAGGAGACTCAGAGGGGATCTGTTGGCGACATACAGGTATGCGAGGGGGTGTCATGCGGCGGTGGGGAAAGACCTGTTCTCACCTGCAGAGGAAGGCAGGAGGTGCTCCAACGGAGCCAAGCTCAGGGAACCCAGGTTCCGTTTGGATGCCAGGAAGCACTTCCTGACAGTCGGGACCCCGAGGGTGTGGAATGGGCTTCCACAAGAGGTCGCTGAGGCCCCATCGGTGCGGGTGTTCAAGGACAGGCTGGACGTGCACATGTTGGGCATGTTGTGAGCGGAGCTGGCTGGTGCCGGAGGTCAGACTAGGTGGCCCGGGAGGCCCCTTCTGACTTGCTCTGTTTCTATGTTTCTGTTTCCGAATCTTCCATTCGGAGCCCCGAATCCCTATGAAACCCTCTGCCCCCCACCCCTCTTGAACACAGATCCTTGTCAAAATAGAGAGGGGCTGGTGTTTCAGGCGCCAGGACCCTTCTGGCTTTGCAGGCTATTGCTGATGGAAGCTGCAGGCCAAACCATCTGGAAATCCACTCGCTGGAACAGAGGAGATACAGCCCAGTCCTCTGATAATCTCTCAAACACAGGACAGTCCCCTGCAGGGGAAATGGTCATCCCAGTGGTGTGCAAGTATCGAAATGATGCGATTTGGAATAATGAGATATTTTTTTCAAGGTGGTGAAGACAGAGTTTTCTGGGAGGATCAGCAGTGGCAGCCGGCCAGGCGCTGCGGCAGATTTTCATTGGTGCTGTGCCTACACTCCAGTGTAGATAGGAAAGGATACATAAGCAAGCAAGTAAACCATAATATTGGAGATCAGAGACCGTGGAGTGGGGGGAAAGGAGCTCAAAAATTATGCTCATGCATAATTCATAGTGCTTTCTAGCAAGCTCTTTGCTTTTGTTTGGATTTGTTTCCTTTAAAATAGATCAAAACATGTGCCAAGCCCAGAAAGGAGATGCAGAGGGAGATCTTGAAAACCGACTCCCTTATCCTTCCTTTCACCCCGATCCTTGAAAAGGAGAAGGAGAAAAGGTTGAGGCATTACCTCGGGGAAAGATGGGCCCTTTCACCCATGTCCAAATGCAGGGGGGAATCAAAGCGATGCTTTTCTTCTCTGCCCACATGCCGGCCGAGCTGCCTCCTCCACCCCGGGGCAGCCAAGATGGCTTGCAAGGATGAAGTTACTTGCGAGATATTATCCAGCGCTTGGTGTAGGTTACACGCGTGGTGCTGGGAAAAGGGCTGAACTGGCCTTTCTTCCCGGAGTAACCACAGGGGGAGAGTTTTAAAATTCAATTATCCGCATATGACATCGAGCCAATAGCAAACTGCTCTCCATCGGCTCCAGCTGCATTCCGGTCAGGAGCGTGCTCATGTTCCAGCGGAGCGTCGTGTCACGCGAGGGGCAGAGGAGATGGGGGGCTCGGAAAGCTGCTGGATCAGCCCGTGCCACCCCCTTTCCTACAGACCCTGGTCTGGATTCCCAGGATCGACTTGAATTAAGTGCTCTTTGCCTGGCCAGGTTAGGTCCTCCTCCGCTTGGGCTTCCAAGGTGGGGAGTCTTGCCTCTTCTTTATTAAGCGGCGATCCACCTTCCCAACAGAATCAGATTTTTCTGTGTGCATAAATACTTAATACGGTTGTCAGAACGTGCCCAGTATCCGATCCATCCCATCGAATTAGCTCGGTGCTATTCGTTACCGTCTCCTCTCCGTCTGCCTGTCTTCGGAGCGCGTGCACGTGCCGCTATGGGATGCAGGGACCATTCCTCCCCTGGACCGGGTGTGTGTGTAAAGCTTTTAGAGATGGTAGGAAACGTGATTGTGGTGATGCGTGGTCTACAATTCTTTGTGGTGATGGGATCACAGGGAGAACCCGGCACTGGTTGAAGTGAAGTGCCTGGGTTCTGTTTAATGACTGGAATGGGCCGGAGAACGGTCTAGGAATTAAAAAATGGGGACATTGCTAAAACAAAACAAATACTGCCAAGTTTCTTTCCTTTTGAAGGCAAAGTGAGTTTGTCGCAGGTATCAAAAGCGTGTTAATGGCGGTATTCGTTTGACTGCTGGACCCTCTCTCCAATTCTTGCGTGAAAGGAAAGGGATGTAGGGTCTCCTCACTGCTAGAGTCTGTAACCATCGCCCAGCAAGCAGAAAACGGGTGCACTCGGCCTTCGCAATGCTACCTCCCTCACCGTGATGTCGTAGCCAAACAAGGAATACGCCATCCTGACTTCCCATCTTGACACTGTAATGGAGCAATGCAAAGACGGCAGTTTGACAGATTTCGACACACTGGCAAGATCCAATTTTAAGCAAGACCCGGTGGTGGCCAATACCACCCGTTACAGATTGCTAGATGAATGGCGAATGCAGGAAACTTGCTGGAGCCCCACCGGTAACAGCGGAAGGCACAAAGAAAAATACACCGTTCAGGGAAAGTGAAGCTTAAAAATGGAAGCATACAACCCTTTGTGCATGTTGTGTTATCTTGCTGTGCCTCCGATGAGGAAATGTCATGTTTTTACCAGAAGCTAAAAGAATTTCCTCCCCAAACTTTCTGCTTGACTTTATTATTTAAATGCAAAATCAAAACAATTCTTTATCTTTTGCCACTTCTTTCGGAGCACTGCTGGGAAGGGGCACGTTTTGCTACAACTCGGGGCTTAAACCAGCAGGCCTGTGAAGCGCATCTGGTAACCTGACCTTTTTCTTTATTGTTTGAGAACCGTCCAGAATGTTCTCCAGAGTGGAAAGACACAAATATTTTGAATGCAGCACACAAAACAGCACCCCGACAACCTCCTCAAACTTGAGCTTCGCTTCTGAAACCCGTTGCTCTAATGGCATTGTTCATCAACCTCGTGGAGAGAATGGCAAATATCATTTCTGGCGTCACGCAAGTCTTTGGCAGAGTGGGGAAGCTCGTGGTGTTCCTGAAGCGTAGCAACAGATTAATTGGTTAAGTCTAGTGGGCTGTTTTCCTGAGCAGTCAACCCCCCTGCTCTTCTGCCATTTTACAGCTTTCCATTCACATGAATTGATGCCACAGCAGGTCTCCTAATCCTTCCAACTCAGGTAGCTGACAAGCACACAGCTTTCTATATAAAGCCTCACGTGAACCTTGTACTGTCACATTTCATTTGGCAAGATTCCATTTCTTCCGAAGCTTAAAATCCCATCACCACAGGGGAACAATGGCTACGGAGAGGCAGAAAACTCTTTAACGAGAGAGAGAGAAAGGAAGCGATAACACGACTTTCAGAAGCACCAGTTAGTTGAAGAAGGGGACTGATCTGTACACCCTTTTTATAAGCTCCCAAAATACATGCCCAAGGATTTGGGCTTAATTCTTGTAAGTCAGCCCTGGCGCTTTTAAATAATCAACAGAAAAAGGTGTTGGATAAGTAACAGTAATGAGCTTTGACGAGCTCCTTTAAATAATTTAAAATTACCGGGACACTCAGCCGTTTTCAAGCTGGCGACTATACACAGAACTTTTACAATATTTATCAGTAATCACAGTTGTAAACGTAGAATTCTGTGTACAAAGCTGACTTCCTTCAGAGCGAGGAGGGAAATTCGGTTGACTTTTCTGGAAACCGGCTTCTTACAGTGATCCTGCACAAAGGGCGATCCACCAGAGACCCCATGACAAGCCCGCTATTCTAGCATTTCCTTTAGTTTGCAAACCAGGATGGTGAGGCCCCCAAACAACTGGACGGCTTGTGTACGTGGAACACCACCCGAGGTCAGCTCAGGCGTCATTTTGGGCGGGCTTGTCCTAAGAGAATGGCTGGATCGTAACTTTTGCTTCCTTTCTGACGATCTGAACCCCACTAGAAGAAGTAATGGTAAGGAGTGTTGACACAGGATGGGAGAAGTCGGATTCTTCACATATTAGCTCTTTTTCAAGTCAACAGATAGCTCGTGTCCTTAAGGGTTTGGAAGGTTTAGGGTTGAAATTGAGGAGTAGGAAGAAGTCAGAAGAAAAGAGTACTACACAGCTTCTGTGTGACATCAATTTACAAGTCCCACCCGTCCCTAAATCTCAAGCTGGGCAAAGAACCCCCAAAAGGAAGGCAAGTATGTTTACATCTCTCTGCAAGAATTTTTTTTTTTTTTGGGTACAGAAATCTTTGGATGCAACGGCAGAATTCTAATACCCAGGCAGAGACTGGTGGTTTTCCTCTGCCTGGTATCTTCTGGATGTTTGGGCCTTCCAGCTTCCCAACCAGCATGGCCATCAGTTGGGAATTCCGGAAGTTGTACATGAGATTCCTAGAATTTATAGTTAACCCCGCCCCCCCCGCCCCCAGGCTGTTCCACTGCTTGCCCAACAGGACACCGAAAAGAAGCTGGTTTGAGGAAAGCAACACAAAAGCCATGAAAAGCTGTCTTTACGATTCCCAGCTATGTTAAAGCGTTTTTCAATCCTCTCCCACTGCTGCAACTTGGATTATTTGCCATGATAAATGATGATGATGATTAATGATAAATAATCAGGGGTCACACAACGATACTTGAAGGGAATAATAATTAATAATTTCAGAAACAAATCACAGTACATTTGGATCAATGGCTGTCCAGGCTAAGGTCATCAAAGCTGTCCAATAATCCATGTTTTCAAATACAGCCTTGGGAAGCAATTCAGGAACCCCCCAACTTGCTGATGCCCAGCAGGTCTTTTCGAGTGTCTGAGGTTACTAAAGCCATCCTTTCCAGGTAAGTAATCCGACTGAAATGTACTTTCTACAGACTCAAACTTCTCCCTTCTCTGTAACTGGCAGATGATTCAGGGAATGTGCAATGTAATGAGCAAGGCAGTAAAGATTTCACCCCTGTGACAAGAGGTACCCCAGCTTAATAAATGTTTAAAGGTCAGAATAGCTCCTCTCTCCAATACATTCTGGACAGAAATGGCTCCCTCAGCTTAGTCCTAGCATCGTGGGATACGTGAATATCTGTTCCACTGCTGTTCTGTTCCGTTCATTTACTTTTTAATTTCCCAATAACATTGGCAAACAGTCCCTTTATCCTTTCGGGGAAAAAAGGGGCGGAATCAGACACTCCCCCCACAACAGTCTATGAGATCAGCACCAAGCATTATGCCATCACTTTGCTCCAGGTACTCAAGCACTTCGAAGATTTGGGTCTCTTAAACCGGCCGTCGTCTTATGTGGCGGGACTGTTCCCTTTCCCAGTTCCTGCCCTTGAGATGCAGCCTTATTTTGGTTCCGGGGGCTTTGCTCGCTCTTCTGCAGCCGTTGAGACAGAAGTCCGCGACTCTGACGCGCCGGGGGGCGTAGTACGGCCTGCCGCGCTGCGGAAATCGCGTGGAAGCGTGGGCACTTTGGCGGCGGGGGACGCTTCCCCGCCGGGCCGTGGGCCCCTCTCCTGCGGGTGCCTGGGCCGTGCCGGGGCCTCCGCCGCCTCCTCCTCCGCCGCCGGCGCCCTCAGGGGATGCCGTCCCTGCGCTGGCAGCACTGCGAGGGGGGCACGCTCCAGTCGTAGATGTAGGAGAGCCGCAGCCGGACCTCCTCCTTGCAGAGCTTCCCCTCGCGGGCCAGCGTCTGGTGCTTGTCCAGCATGTCCTGCACGCTCTGCTTGTGCGTCACCAGGTACTCGTTGCTGCAGCCGCGCGAGCGGTACTCGGTGTCGAAGCGCGGGTCGTGCACGCGCGTCACGTCCACGGGCGCCAGCCAGGCGCCCAGCGAGACGTCCTCGCTGTGCCAGGTGCGCAGGAAGTCGCGGCTGAGGCGCAGGTAGCGCACCAGGTCGGCCGAGAGCACGTAGCCGCCGCCCAGCGCGTAGGGCAGGTAGTAGTCGCAGAGCAGCCAGGCGCGCTCCCGCCAGCGCCCGCCGGCCTTGACGCGCCCGCGGCCCGAGAAGAAGCCCCAGTAGAGGCGGCGCGGCTCGCGGCGGCGCAGCTCGGCCAGCAGCGCGTCGAGGCGCACGAACGAGTCGTCGTCGGCCTTGAGCACGAAGCGGAAGGCCACGTGCGCGTCCAGCCAGGCCAGCGCGCCCAGCACCTTGGCCGCCAGCGTCTCGTAGGCGTCGCGCAGCTCGGGCAGCAGCAGCAGGTCGCCGTGGCGCCGCTGCTCGCGCTCCAGCGCGCCCAGCTCGGCCGGGCCCAGCCCGCCGCTGCCCACCACG